GTACGGAAGGCTTCCAGAGCCGGCTTGGAGCTGGGCTGGGTTTGCCCTAAGGAAGCCTGCTTGCAGGCACAATGTGACCCGTGCTTAACGGATGTAATAGATGCAGATCAGCTTATGTGTAAATAAATTCATAAGAACATAAGAGAAGCCAATGTTGGATCAGGCCAATGGCCCATCCAGTCCAACACTCTGTGTCACACAGTGGCCAGAAATACCAGGTGCCAGCAGGAGGTCCAGCAGTGGGGCCAGGATACTAGGAGCTCTCCCACTGTTGCCCCCCCAAGCACCAAGAGCATCCCCTGCCCCAGCCTGTGAGTTCCTTTCTATACCTTGTAGCTAATGGACCTCTGCTCCATATGTTTATCCAGTTCCCTCTTGAAGCTGTCCATGCTTGTAGCCACCACCACCTCCTGTGGCAGTGAATTCCATGTGTTAATCACTCTTTGGGTGAAGAAGTACTTCCTTTGATCCATTCTAACCCGCCCGCTCAGCAATTTCATTGGGTGCCCACGAGTTCTTGTATTGTGAAAAGGGAGAAAAGTACTTCTTTCTCGACCTGCTCTATCCCATGCACAATCTTATAAACCTCAATCATGTCACCTCTCAGCTGTCATTTCTCCAAGCTAAAGAGCCCCAAGCGCTTCAGCCTTTCTTCATAGGGAAAGTGTTCCAACCCTTTTCTGCACTTTTCCCAATGCTATAATATCCTTTTTGAGGTGTGGTGACCAGAACTGTACACAGTACTCCAAATGAGGTCGCACCATTGATTTACACAGGGGCATTATGATACTGGCTGATTTGTTTTCAATTCCCTTCCTAATAATCCCCCAGCATAGCGTTGGCCTTTTTTATTGCAGTCACACACCGTCTTGACATTTTCATTAAGTTATCTACTACGACTCCAAGATCTCTCTTTTGGCCAGTCTCTGCCAGTTCAGACCCCATCAATGTGTATTTATAGTTAGGATTTTTTGCTCCAATGTGCATCACTTTGCACTTGGCCACATTGAACCCCATTTGCCATGTTGACGCCCACTCACCCATCCTCGACAGACCCCTTTGGAGTGCCTCACAATCCTCCCTGGTTGTTACCACCTTGAACAACTTTGTGTTATCTGCCAATTTAGCCGCTTCACTGCATACTCCCAACTCCAAATCATTAATAAACAAGTTAAAAAGCATTGGACTGAGTATTGATCCCTGCGGTACCCCACTGCTTACCACCCTCCACTGAGAAAATTGCCCATGTTTAACCCACAACTTGTCTTGTGTCTCATTCGAGGGGTGGGCAGGCAAGGTGCCTGTTCAACCTGGAGACCACTTAGCCCAGCCCCTACCTCTCCTGTCCACTGATATCTCTCCCAGGAACTCTTTCAGCTCTATCCGGTCAAGTCAGAGTTCCCATCTCCAGGTTGGGAAATGCCTGGAGATTTGAGAGTAGAGCCTAGGGAGGGTGGGCTTTGGGAAGGGGAGGAACCTCACTGGGATAGGATGCCACAGAGTCCACCCTCCAAAGCAGCCATTTTCTCCAGGGGGTCTGATCTCTGTCACCTGGAGATCAGTCATAATTCTAAGGGGGGGGGGTCTCCAGGCCCCACCTGGAGGTTGGCAACTCTATGCTGTACACCCTTACTCAGATCTGTGGCAATTTGGCCTCAAGTGCCTCTGTCAAAGTACAGGCCAGGATTCTCAGACTAGCGTCTCTTCTGAGCTGGTGTGGAAACGGGAAGAGACAAGGCAGAGGGAGAGGTCACTAAAACCCCCATGGCTACAGAAAGGGCCTTCTCTCTCTCGGCCTTCACTCAGAAAAGCGCTGCTCTGCAAATGGCTCGCTCCACCACAGTAGCCACCCCCCCCCCCCCCCCCCCCGTGCTACCACTGCTGCACACGGCTCTGTTTCAGACTGGCAGACCGCCAGCTTTCATCGTGACTCTTTTGCCACTCCAAAAATTCATTTGTGCCGTCTCGTCCCCTCACAATCACCCAAGGCCCGAGCCGAGCGAGTTGGTTAACAGGCTCCAGGGACATAGCTGCCTCTCTTCACACTTCGGCTTCCCCTCGCCTCTCCTCGAGCATCTTTTGCCTCATCAACACAATTCAGTCTAATAAATGCAATCGTTATAGACTCTCTGAAACTCCTGCGTTTGCGGAGCCTCAGGTGCCGGGCCCAATGAACCAGTTAGAAATGCCAAATCCTTTTAGAATGTCAGGCGCTGAATTTATATCCTACAGCAAATTTATGACACAGTCAGGAGAGGGGCATGTTAATATTATTGAAGCATGCAGGTTCAGTCTCCTCATGAAACTCGACGGGCGGCGGCTTGGTGCGTGCCAGACATTAAGGCCGGGGGCGGTCCTGAACTAGTCTCTGGCAGCCGGTAGAGAAAACACTGCTTGCTCACAGAAAACACTCTCCATTTGCATCTCTGCTCAGTGAATTCGGAAGGCAAAAATTAAAGAGGTGCCATGCACCCAGTCCTTCTGGATGGGAGGCATATTAGCACAATGGGAGGAAGGAGACAGAGAGCAACTGGATACACTTGACAGGATCGAGCATTTTTAAGCTGGATGGTGTTTCAAAGAACACCCTCCAGTTTCGGTTCCTAATCGTCCCTAGTGGTAGGATACTGAGGGAAATGAAATGCCAGAGTCATTATTTTAATGCTAATTCTCAACATACTCTCCCACACTCCAAACTGTCCTCTGGAACGTTATAAATAGACCAGATGCTGGCATAGAAGCCATGCCACCCCCCATCTGTATTTTCTGGGTTCCATAGACTACTGAGGAAAGAAACGTGAACTTATCATGTGGTCTGATTTCAAGATGGCGGCCCTAATTCAAAGTGGCAGCTAAACACATTCCCCTCTCACTTCTGAGGCCAATAGCCTGGAGCCTTGAAATCAGAAACTGAACAAAAATGGAGGTCTACAAGAGTATTGTAAAGGTACAGAAGTGGAACACTTAGCATTCCATGGAAACATAAACAAAACACATAAAATTATTTCCCGTTCAATCAAGAACAGGCCACTGCCACAAATTTAGACAAGTGTGCTTCGCTGACAGTGACACTTCATGTTATTATGTTCTTATAGTTATTAAAATGTGGGATTCGCTGCCAGAGGATGTAGCGATGGCCACAGGAATAAACAGCTTTAAAAGGGAATTAGACAGATTCATGGAGAAGTCAGTCAATGGCTACTAGTCATGGTGGCTGAGGGAAAACTCCACATTCAGAGGCGCTAAACCTCTGAATCCCAGAGCCAGAAGGCAACATCAGGGGAAGTCCTCGGCCTCTGTGCCTCGTTGTTGGCCCTCCAGAGGAACTGGTTGGCCACTGTGTGAGACAGGATGCTGGACTAGCTGGACCACTGGTCTGATCCAGCAGGGCTCTTCTGATGTTCTTAGGAAGGCTTCAGCCTCTATGGCTGCATTGCACCTCATATTGTAAGCCGCCCTGAGCCCGCGAGCGGGGAGGGCGGGGTAAAAATAAAATTAAATAAATAAATAAAATTAATAAATATGGCCTGTTGTTGGATGTCCAGAGGAACTAGTTGGCCACTCTGTCAGACAGGAGGCTGGACTAGATGGACCACTGGTCTGATCCAGCAGGGCTCTTCTTATTTGCATGTCTGGAAGTGGTGTCTCTTATCTGCTCATGCTGGTATACCAACTGCAGCCCTTCCTTTGAGAAGCCTGACTTAGCCACAGTTTCACTTAGGTCTGCCAGACCCCCAGTCCGGCCAGGGGATCTCCTGGTCTTTTGGTGGAGAGCCAGTTTGGTGTAGTGGTTAAGTGCGCAGACTCTAATCTGGGAGAACCGGGTTTGATTCCCCACTCCTCCACTTGCAGCTACTGGATGACCTTGGGCAAGCCATAGTTCTGTCAGAGCTTTTTTCTCAAGGACAGTTCTCAAAAGAGCTCTCATTCCCACCCACCTCACAGGGTGTCTGTGGTGGGGAGGGGAAAGGAAATAAGTTAAGTCAGTCACTCTGAGACTCCAAGTGAAGAGACTCTCTTCTTCTGCCCTCAGGCTCAAAGAAATTGGGAACCCCAGTATTAGGTTCACTGATCTAATGGCACTGCTGTCTACCAACAGGAGGAGTGAACTGCTGCAACCTGACCAGTGTGTGTGTGACCCGGTCAACCACCGGTTGCTGCTGGGTCCTAAAGAGACTCATCTCATCGCAGATGAGCTCAAACAGGGCTCAGATCCATCAGGGGGCGGGC